TACATATACCTTTATTGCATGAGATTATAATTTTGTTATTTCTTTCTTTATATGCTGATAGTATGTTAATTATTTGATTCTATTAACACTGCCAACTTAATTGTTTTTATCACTAGAATGATCAATGGATGGAGGCCAAATGATTTTATCTAAACAAAGACACAATACTGGATCAATAACATGATCCAGTTACTCAGTCAAGTTAATTAATCTAAACATGTAGCTCAGCTAGACTGCATGTGCACGTCTATTGCTTACAGTGTCCAGGAAATAACCAAAGTTGTTATTATGAGTTTCCAATTTCCCATTTAAAGGATACAGCTGATAAACCAGTGACAAATTTAAGTTTTATCATTGAGTCATCCCCTAAAAAGTTATCCAACTTAAAATTGAAAATTATGAGGGAAAAATCTGCATGCTGGAGTTTATCTTCTACTACTAGATTTCAGGAGGATAGTGATATGAAAGTATAAAAGAAAAAGAAAGAAAGAAAGAAAACTGTAAAAAGGACAATGGCTGCTTGTAAACTTAGATTCAGAAAGTAACACACCTCCTTTTTTTCTAAATTTTTGAGTATAAAACTTCAGGAATATTAAACATACAAAATGGTTTTCATTTTCTTTCCAGTGGAAATATAACTGGATCATTGAGAAAGATTGCACTTACAATAATTAACATTTACATAGCTACAAGATTTTTCATCTTTAATTCACATTAGACTTTTGAAAAATTGATTTTCATATCAACACCATTTGTACATACTTGTAAGGGATTTTGAGATTTCCTTATCTAAATGTGTATTTACCCTTTTCATGTCTGAGATTTCACTACTGAACAAAATGAGAAAAAAATATATCCTTTTAGTTACGAAGACATTAAAGCACAATCTCCTAACTATGTGTTGAATGGATATTCTTAAGAACTACCAATTATAATGCAATTCTACCCTACTAAACTCTGTAAGCCTAAAGTTAAATTTTGAATCCTTGATAATTATCTTATTAACTGGAAATAAGTACATAAATTACTGCATTCATATCCAAGAAGGAAAGATAATTTCTTCTCTCCAAAACTACTTATATCTGTAATACAATTAGCCCTGATGGAGTCATGCATATATTACCTCTGACTCAAATGAAATTAGGGGCTGTATTTATTACACAGAAATAAAATGCATGCCAACAGTTGGTAATTCTAAACTGGAAAATACTCAGGTAGGCTTAATGTTTCCCAGAACACAACCATTAAACTGTCAAATGAAATTGGCAAACACAGATTTAAAAAAATCAACATATCAGTTTTCATAAAGCTGTAATGCACTTTCCGAAAAACTTTATCTAGGATTTTTTTCTAAGACACATGACAAACCACCAAACTGACACCAATGTAATAACAAATGCCCACTCAGATGTGTATCTGAACATGAGGCACTCTGAAACATCCAGGCTTTTCAAAAACAAAGGTAAACATGCTTCCATTCAATATGTGCAAACAAACATATTTGTCAAGGGTGTAATGTTTCTTGAACTCAAGTGTCTAACCCCATGATTTATTAGACACATTGAAAGGTTTAACCATTATGTAACAGTGATCATATGTTACACTGGTAGAGGCACATAAAACACTCATGCAGAGATTCAAAATTTACATAGCCAATAAATTCATACAGAGGGACTGACGTGACAAATTATCTGATTTATGATGTATCTGTTTACAAGCATTTTATTACATTACTCGACGCCATATTTAAATTTACGGAATAATGATCAGGTTCCAGTTCCTCAAAAGTTAGTTCTAGATAACCAGAGGTTAGTGAAAAAAATTAATTGATGTCACTGAACAAAAAGGAATGATTAATTCAAAACCAACTTTCAAAATATATATCAATCTAACGTGTTTCAACAAATCTACAATGCGATAAAAAATTTTCCCACCTTGGTTTGATTCATATTTGAAATATTTCACCTACCACTGGTTATCTGTTACCAGGCGTTGAACAACTGGGGCCAGGACAACAAACAAAATCACAACAATAATAGCCGAGATACAATCAACAGATATTGGAGTTTTACCTCCAAGTTTATAAATGCTTTTCCTCATCAACTTGTAAGAAAATGCATCAGATATGTGCTGAGCTACAATTAATTTTGATTTTATTATGTAATTAAAAAAACAGCAACTGATGCTAGGGTCAGTCCACTAAAAAGATAATAACATACCCAGGTAAAATTACTTTATTACATAAAAAAAAATGATATCTATTTTCACTTTTAAATTTTTATAAGGAAATGACATAAAAAGACAGAAAAAAATTTTATCTTACATATCAATTGCACAAAACATTAATATCCCATGTGCATGTCACAAATGATTCATGCATGTGAAACTGACTGTTGACAGCTGGATAAAAATTGATTCCTAAACAGCTAAACGGTACACAGAGATCCCCTATTTAAATTTCAATTAAATATATTCAGATTGCTGACTTAAAATAACATTGAACTATTTAGTACTTGACATCACAGTGAGATCCTGTTGTGATGCTGAACCACACTACTTATTTGAATGCTGTGAATTGATTGTTACAACTGGAGGCTAGAAAAGTAATTAACATCTAGATCTACTCCTTCAAAGAGAAACTATTGTCAGAAAATCTAGTTACACAAATTAGCATTATAATTAACAAACTGAACATGTAACTAAAGTACTATTTTTAACGACTTTTCTTAAAAATTCTTACACCATGATATATAACTGTAATATAAATTTGAAATGCAATTTGTATTGCAAGTTAGTCAATGACTGATTCATGAATGGTAAGTACGTCTAAATACAGATCAGTCTTAATTAAAAACAATAAATATCCTAACAAATCAATCATCCATTGGTGCACTGGTTCTATTTATAGTTTTATTTCAAGTTCTGGTTGAAGTATTTAAAACTAAGATTTTAGATAAGATTGAGGTATATATGTTATTTAACAGAACACCAAACCATTCAGATTTGTAGTCTACAGGATAATATATGGAGATGTTTGATTAAAATTAGTGAGTCCACACATTATGTATACAAATGAAATGCAAAATGTTTTAAATACCTTTTAAGTTTATATAACTTAATGATCATAATGTACCATAATTCTACTCTTTGATATAGATACTCAAAATCAGTTTAGCAAAGAAATGATGGGACAATATAATCCTGAAAGTTTGTCTTTCTTTGACCCCCTCCAACCCATCATCCTATGCATCCCGACCCATCAATGCCATCTCCCACATCTCGCTAAAAAAAAAGGAAAATCATAATAGCAATAAAAGAAGAAAAAAAAACACATTTAGGTTTGGTAATTAGAGGGGAAACAAACAGAAAGTATTAAGGAATTTACAGGTTATAAGTAGCACAGCAGAAAATTTAAAAGTAACAGGGTGATTTTTTTTCATTTTTTCCTACTAAATTTTATTGTGTCATCACCTTAAATGCAAGACACAGGAAAATGTATGTAAATCAATACCAGCCCTTTTTCTAGTTCTTACACCATTACTTCTTACAAAAATCAAAATTTCATACAAGTATCGACTGATTTAATGGCATAATTCATCAAGGATACCTTTATATAAATGGACATTAAAGAAATCAAAGCTATGAGGATAGATATTCAATGTTCACTGTCAATGTATTCCTCAGTAGATTAAATAAACATATATCATATATCATACAAAAAAACATGTAAATGAAGCTCGTTATATACATGTTTGAATAGCAAACCATGTAGGAGGCCTTCTCAAGCATTTTATATGCCTCGTTGTGCAGCTTATGGTGTATATCATAAAAATCTGTACATGTATGACTTTATATTATAAATATCCCTGTCAATAATGTTCCGACTTTAACGGCAGGAGAGGGAGGAATGGGGATAGAATTTAAATCATTTTTTACAAATTCTACATATCTGCTTATTGATCTGATGATGGTCTTTTTGCCTTCCAGCAGATCAGCCAATATGTAAATACAATTTTATATGAATTGTACACATTAAAGGTTCAGGCAAACATGTGAAGGTGGTACTGAGCTAAATGATAATCATACATGTATCATAACAATACAGCTTAGAAGAGCCACAGTGATATGTGTCGGTGCCTGTACAACAATTTTACACAAAATGTCCATATAAACATATATAACAGATATCAGCACATTGTTCATAGTATAGTATCTCCTGGCTTCTATGGTTGTAATGTAGATCGCATAATGAGTTTAATTACTATCATCAAAACATATGAGATGAAATAACATGAGTACTTACTGTACTGTCAGTGTAAGATTATTATGAATATGATATCGCATTCCTGTTTTACCTCGTATAGCTCTAGTAAATAGAATAATGTAACGTTGATCAGGTCACTTATATGGTAAATGACTCTGCTCCATAGTAAACACACACATGTATACACAGTATATATAGCACGTTTACCTGCCGTAACAAGTCTTTCGTATCGGCGGAAATGATCGGTGAATAAACTTTCTAATCTGACGCCACGCCTGATTTGGACACATGTCATCAGTTCGTTATTGATACAAATTATTCAATATAACCAAAGAAATGGTATAATTTTATTCATAAGTCATACATTCTGAGTAACAGAGTCTTAACAAAATCATTAAAACAATCTAGATAATAGAAGAAAACATCGATAACATGCAAATTAATCGATCAACGTGACACATGGCTTTAGCGACTTCCACTTTCACGCCCATTTGTTTACCTACGTTGTCATAGAAACACTGCGCCGTTTTCAGCATCTGCTTCTCTATTTTGGAAATATTTTGTTTTCAGCCCATCTGTACATCTAACGCGAACGTCAGTTGCAACATATCTTGACACGGCAGCTCATTTTTTGCCGTACTTTCACAAATAAACAACCAACTCGCTATCACAGACTGATGGTGTATGACGGTTGACCAATTTGCGCATGTGCAAAATGAAAGTCGATCTGATCGTGTCACATTCATTCCGCTGAAAAATGTCACCAGGCGCTGTACCCCGAAATATCATCCTGTGTCTTGGAGTTCTGTCTTGTATACTTAGTAAGTACGCCGTACAGACGAATGATAGTGAAACCAGGTAACAGCCTGGCCATTTCATTACTCTCTAATCATGAAACACGAATGTATCTTGATTGATTTTTTTCAAGATTGTGATCAAAATTTTGACAAAGCTGATAAAAAAACATGACGAGAATACCTATGCCTATTATCATAAGGACAACCATGATTGGAAGATAGCATTATTTGGGTTGCATCAATTACATCAAAGCTTTCGACATCAATTATAAATGCTGCAAACCGTTTGACAGAGGGAAGGTAACGTTACATATATGATAAATGTAGGTCATTGTATATATTTTAATCTCTTTGATATAAAAAATTTGGCACCAGATCTAAAACTTTTTATTTTCATGTTTCAAACGTTTATTGACAAAGATGTATACAAATATGTCCTCAATTCAAAAAATCATAGCAAGCTTGATTTTAAGAATTCATGACACCTGACTAGAGGTTACAAAAAGATTTGGTCTATAATGGAGAATAATTCTTCATTTAACCAGATGCACTTAATGGGTGCAACATATGCCTATCATTGTATTTAATTATTTTAAGTAGTCAAAACCATATGTGCGGAAAATTAATATTGATATCAATATGGTTTGGAATTTGAACATTATAGGAAAAAAACAGGAAATAATAATAATAATAAAAAAAAAACAGTAAATCAACTTAACAGTTATGGTTCAAATATCATAAAGATAAAAAAGATATTTGACCAAAACCAATCTGGCTCATCCACCCGGTGAAGTATGATAAAGTTAAGCCCATGGTAAAGTGAACAGCAGTTCATTTTACTTATGGTGAAACCCCCCCCCCCCCGACCCTTTTTGACAGAGTTATGCTCCTTTCAACTTAGAAAATTTCCTGGGAATATTGTTTTCTTGGTTGGCAGTCTGTAACCCTTCTTGGCAGTGATATGTCCCTTTGAACTTGGAAAATTTCTCAGGAATATTGCTTTGCGCAGTTTTCCCTTTATGCTTCAAGTTATAGAAATGAAATTTGGTATTATAACTTTATGGTTGATCATGCACATCCAGTTCAATTTCTGGGTGACCGTGACACTTTATGCAGGCGACACATACAGTTCTGAAGAACTCTTGTTATTCACTGAATTTTTCATCAGTTTACTTAATTATGTTCCTCATTACAAAATAAAAACCAAAATAAAACAGGGTGGGGAAATTTAGGTTGGAGCAGGAGGGAGGGGGGATTCACTTCACCATTGCCATGGTAAAGTGAAGCATATCAACACAAAAATAACAAAAAATAGGTCTTGGGTGGGGAAATTTAGGGTGGGGCAGGGGGCAGGTGGGTTCACTTCACCATTATGGTATTTTAACCCCAGGTGTAGCATGGTATTGTGAAGCATGGGGAAATGAACTGGTGTCATGTCATATTTGTATCCCCCATCAGAAAAGGATCCGGATCACTTTTCCCTCATCAGAAAAGGACCCGGAGATCACTTTTCCCCCATAAGAAAAGGATCCCCCCTATAGTATTTTGATCCCCCTTGTGAATTTTATTTTAAACTTTATAGCTTTATAAAAATGAGATATGATAGGTAACTGTGTCTGGGACTTGGTCACTGATACCTGGGTTACCTGTACAGGTGTGATTACATAACACCTGTGGAGTCAAGGCTGAAGAGGTCAAGCTCCAGATTACCCTGTACAGGTAGTGATTGACAGGGACTGCATACATAATTCCGGGGTCAAAATACCATAATGGTGAATTGCTACACCAGCAATAGACATTTTGATGCAAAGATGTCAGATCATCTGCCTCAGTCCATCAAAATGTCTAACACCTGGTGTAGGAGTCTGAAGCCTTAGGTTAGGTGTTAACAAGGTGCTTGTTTATGGTACAGTACATGTACAGTATGAACTTTGGATATAGGGTCGGGAACAAATTTGTTCAAGTTAACAAGTGACCTTGATTCGCTTTCAAGGTTGCAGGGTTCAGTTGCATTTAAAACTCTAAACAACTTCTCAATTATCAAAATAGGTACAGGGTTATGATATTCAGCCTTTAGCATATCCAAGTGTTCAGCATTGATCAAGTTTCAAGGCCACAGGGGTCATATGTGTAAAATCTTAAAACAACATCTTCTAGGTATACCTAAAGTCACAAAGTAATGATATTTGACATATACAGTTGTGGAATGCTTGTTAAGGCACTAGATATGCCGTTCAATTTAATTACCTTGACATACTTTCAAGGTCATTAAGGTCACATATGTCAAAATCTTCAAACAACCACTTACAGATAATTATAACAAAGGGACAAACCCTGGTTTCATAATTTCATAAGCAAAATAGTGGCATTTTAAAGAATATGAGTATGATGTTTGAAATGAACATAAAAGTTATCAGAAAAAAACTCTTTCAATATTGCCTGCTCTTAATCTCCCTAATCGAAGATTGAAAGTGGATTTTGTAATGTCTCTCATTATCTTGACATTCTGTTGTCCAGCCACACAGTCTGTTCACAACACTATTTCTGGACAATAACTTGAGATCCTTTGGACCAAACAAAGTCAATCTTCACAAACTTCTTGCTTTTGAGGTCAAAAGGTCTACAAGTGTCCAGGTCACTGTTACTATAGAAAGTCAGTTCGTTCTGATCATCATTTCCAGATGATAACTTTAGTCTAGGAACTTTAGTTCCTCAGGACCAAAGAATCTCAACTTCACACAATGGTTTCTCATCAAGAATGCTTGCTTTATTTAGTTTTGGCTACCGTCTCCTCCTTTTCCCTGAATCAACCATCTCAAATTTCATGCACTGCTTTCTCGATGACAGTGCTTTCTTGGGATTGCTTTTAGGGTCAAAAGGTCAGACATCAAGGTCATTATTACTGTAACTACAAAACTGATTTTTCCTCAATAACTCAAGTTCCTTTGGATCAAATAATCTAAAACTTCACACATTGCTTCCTGACCAACACAGTTTGCTTCAGAGATCTTGTTGATATGATAGGTCAAAAGAAAAGGTCACTATTTACTATGAATTAAACATTTGTTGTTTCTACTCAATCTTTTGAATTTCCTCAGACTGATCAAACTCAATTCCACACACAATACCTTAGAGATACCTTGGTAAAAGCTACTTGAGAGCAGTAGAGCATTATACAGGTACATGGTACATTGTTTAAACTAAGACTTTATTGGGAACATTATATTTTTATGATCATGTCATGAATTAATTTCAGGTCCTGTTCAGCTGCAGCAGATTCGCCTTGTGGGTGGATCAACACAATACGAAGGTCGAGTTGAGATCTTCTTAAGGAATGAATGGGGAACAGTTTGCTTAGACAACTTTGAGGATATTGAAGCAGTGATCATTTGTCGACAACTCGGTTTTGGGTGAGGATTTTATGTGGTATTGATAACATATTAAATAGACTCATTGTAATGTTTTTGTGAAAAATTTGCCTTCTGATCTCCACCCAAGTTATAAATGACAATTACTTGATTTGAAGACTTAAATACAACCATGCAACCATTCTGGGCCAGGATTATAATGTTGTAACAATTGTACACAAATTTAAACCATATTTTTGCCCCTTAACATTCTTTTAAACCATAAAGCAATTGCGGATGCTGATTAAAGCTGCCAGACCTGTAAATTTTAGGAAACAAGACATATATCCTTAGAATGTCACCAAGGAATACAACTTTATGTGAGGGAAGCTGTTTTTCTCTTAGATACTTGCGTAGAGGTGCATAGCTCAAAGTTGGAAACATTTACAATTTATTCTTAGCCAACTTTGCTTAGATGCCCAGGTTAGTGATGAACAGGTCTTACACTACATGTATATGTATTTTATCAAAAAATTGTAACATTCTTTCCAAATATTTATAAAACAAGACATGATATTTAGCTAATGTAAACTCGATTTCTGAATATGAAATATTCTTTCGATTTAAAAAAGATGTTTTAATTGCATGATTAATCAATTACCAAGTATGCTAATTTCTTTAATTATAAATCAGTGACTGACTGAGGCATTCATGCAGCACACAGATTATGTGTGTGGTTTTTTTCAGCATATTTACACATGTTTCTAGATAATCAAAATGTAAGGATGAATTTGAATTATTTGTTCTATTACATCTACTACAAACAGTTTAGGGATAGCAGTGACTGATGGAAGGTTTGGGCCAGGATCTGGTCCGATTTGGTTGGACAATCTTGCATGTGATGGCACAGAACAATCTCTAGATGTGTGTGTAGCAAATAACATCGGAGTTCATAACTGTAACCATTCTGATGACGCTGGAGTGATTTGTGATAACCCTTCTGTAGTGACACAAACCCCAACTACAACTAGAGCCCCTGCCACGGCTCAGCCTTCCAATTGTAAGCAAACCATGATTATTGGGAGTTCTAGGATTTCATATTTTAAAATAAACTATGTATGCATGTTATGTTTCAAGAGAGGAGAGAGTTTAAGGCAATATCTAGGGAAAAATTCAGCAGATATTGAGGGACTTTTTCCATTTTAACTAATAACGAGGGGAAAAATATTGAACATGCTGATTCTTGTTCCATGGGAATTATTTAAAAAAAGGAAGAAATTTTTTAGTACTACGCCAGTGAATAACTGCTAGTACTCGGGGGTAAGATGTTACTATACCAATTATTGTATCAATTTCAGCTACAATTTTTAAACTTGTGAAAACCTATTAAATACATATTAGCATGCTCATACAAAATTTAACAATATCTACATGGGATATGGCATTTTTTAAAAATGTAACTTTTTAATAACCACTCATATTTCATTGTAGTGTCAGACAAGACATTAGCAGAAGTTTATCATTTTTGGCTCTGTTTGTCAATCAGTTAAGATATGCTCTTAACCTTTTAGAATGGTTTTATTTGTACATTAAAGACCATGATTAGATGTTATATAGCTTTTGTCTTTACAGGTTTCCTTTCTCTTTTTTTACCGACTCCTTCATTTTACAAAGCAATCTAATTTAATGGAAATAGACTTATTTTACAGAAATATATAAACCGAAAAAATGACATAAATTTGTGTCTGTTCTGATGGCTGAATCAGATTTAGAATTACCGGTACATGCACTGGCTCTTTAGAAAATTTACAGATCAGTAATGTGTTAATCAGGACCATAGATTTCAAAATGTCCCTCCTGACTATGGTTTTTAATTGTAAGGAAGAACTGGAAAGTACAATGTCTATTTTAATAAAAGTGTTATTGATTGTGAAAGGAACTTGACTAGAAATGCTTGTAGTTATTTTCCCTAACAGATCGTGAATTACCCTAATTCTTTTTCATCTTAAATAATTAAGGTTTTTCCCTTCATGAGATACCTGTATGTCTGTCAGATACAAAATTTGTATTGCTTCATTTATACAGGTACTGCTGATAACACCAGTCCAGCTTTAAGGATTATTGGTCCAAGTGACAAAATTGGGGTTGGCTTTGTGGAGGTCTTCTACAACGGTACGTGGGGGGCAGTTTGTGATGACCACTGGGACATACTGGACGCCAGAGTAGTGTGTGGAATTCTGTGCTTCAAGTAAGTCACAAAGAGGACCGTTATAACTGGAATGTAGTCAGTCATTTCAGCTGTGACAATTAGTTTGCCGAAATTCACTGACATTTGAATAGTTAAAAAAAGAAGAAAAAAAACTGCTGAAACCAAATTTAGTTTGTGACATGACATGTCGATTTAGTTAGTTTCTGGCATCATATTACAATTCACTGTTGGATGGCTGCATGGTGCAGTGTTGATGTATCAATCTTTTCTCCAATCAGACATAAGAAGTTATCCCCTTAACGACATTCTGAGTTTCCCTTAAAACTGCTCTGTGCACTTCCATCCAGACTCATAAGAGTGATCAGTATATATTTATCTAGCTTCTTTCATATTTGTTATAGTATAAATACAATTTACGTGTCCCAGGTAAGTATATATAGAGTTGTTTGGTTGGGTTTCAACTGACAAACAAACTTCTAAATTGTGATTTTTGGGTTAATAAGTACTTTGATTGATCAATGAATTTTCCATACATCATAATGACAAGGAGTTGAATTTTCCATACATCATAATGACAAGGAGTTGAATTTTCCATACATCATAATGACAAGGAGTTGAATTTTCCATACATCATAATGACAAGAAGTTGAATTTTCCATACATCATAATGACAAGGAGTTGAATTTTCCATACATCATAATGACAAGAAGTTGAATTTTCCATACATCATAATGACAAGAAGTTGAATTTTCCATACATCATAATGACAAGGAGTTGAATTTTCCATACATCATAATGACAAGAAGTTGAATTTTCCATACATCATAATGACAAGGAGTTGAATTTTCCATACATCATAATGACAAGGAGTTGAATTTTCCATACATCATAATGACAAGAAGTTGAATTTTCCATACATCATAATGACAAGAAAATGAATTTACCATACATCATAATGACAAGAAGTTGAATTTTCCATACATCATAATGACAAGAAGTTGAATTTTCCATACATCATAATGACAAGAAGTTGAATTTTCCATACATCATAATGACAAGGAGTTGAATTTTCCATACATCATAATGACAAGAAAATGAATTTTCCATACATCATAATGACAAGAAGTTGAATTTTCCATACATCATAATGACAAGAATTTGAATTTTCCATACATCATAATGACAAGAAGTTGAATTTTCCATACATCATAATGACAAGCAGTTGAATTTTCCATACATCATAATGACAAGAAGTTGAATTTTCCATACATCATAATGACAAGAAGTTGAATTTTCCATACATCATAATGACAAGAAGTTGAATTTTCCATACATCATAATGACAAGAAAATGAATTTACCATACATCATAATGACAAGAAGTTGAATTTTCCATACATCATAATGACAAGAAGTTGAATTTTCCATACATCATAATGACAAGAAGTTGAATTTTCCATACATCATAATGACAAGGAGTTGAATTTTCCATACATCATAATGACAAGAAAATGAATTTTCCATACATCATAATGACAAGAAGTTGAATTTTCCATACATCATAATGACAAGAAAATGAATTTTCCATACATCATAATGACAAGAAGTTGAATTTTCCATACATCATAATGACAAGAAGTTGAATTTTCCATACATTATAATGACAAGAAAATGAATTTTCCATACATCATAATGACAAGAAGTTGAATTTTCCATACATCATAATGACAAGAAGTTGAATTTTCCATACATCATAATGACAAGAAGTTGAATTTTCCATACATCATAATGACAAGGAGTTGAATTTTCCATACATCATAATGACAAGAAAATGAATTTTCCATACATCATAATGACAAGAAGTTGAATTTTCCATACATCATAATGACAAGGATTTGAATTTTCCATACATCATAATGACAAGAAGTTGAATTTTCCATACATCATAATGACAAGAAGTTGAATTTTCCATACATCATAATGACAAGGAGTTGAATTTTCCATACATCATAATGACAAGGAGTTGAATTTTCCATACATCATAATGACAAGGAGTTGAATTTTCCATACATCATAATGACAAGGAGTTGAATTTTCCATACATCATTAACAGATGATTTGTGATGACCTTTTGACCTTTCCATTGGAGTTTAAATTTTGGATGGTTAATGGGGTATTTTTTTTATATTTTCTAGTAAAAAAATTCAAATAAAATTTGCCTTTTATTGAAATATTTTAAACATTTAAACATCTATTATTTTGAAAACCTTTGTACTCAAGGTGTTCATGAAATCACTGTCTCCTTCATTTGCAGTCAGTCGCTGGCTTTAGCTGGTACATCTCAAGCAATTGACTACACAAAGAGCAATGTCAGCTCAACCTTTTTGTTGGACGATGTGAATTGTGATGGAAGTGAGACAAATCTTTTCTCCTGTAACCATAGAGGTGTGGGTGTACACAATTGTCTGAGTGGAGAGTACGCCAGTGTCACATGTGTGCCTATTAACCACACTGGGTCAGAAGGTATCTCATTTTTCTAATGTATACCGTTGTTGTTTCATTTTGTCAAATATTTCATTAATTTTACATTGAAATAGGTCTCTGAGGAAAAGGAGAATTTGTACTCCAATAGAGGCTGTTTCTGTTATAGGGTACATAACATAGTTTGTACTGAAAGAAAATATTCTTGTATATGGTATAGTGCAGAATGATATTGGTTCATAGAATTCAAAACATTGATTTTAAAATCCCTTTAGATGTGAAGATGTGGATTTTGACCAATTTAATAAATAATGAATATTAGGGGACTAAAATATTTGATACTTGTCTTTAATATCAGTGATCTTTTCATTTGGCTTCCTGCAATATTTGGATTATCTGTGTGGTTGAGGTTTTATTTTGAAAGGTTGATTTACTCAAGTACTCTGAGACTGTACTGATAGACATTTAACATTTTACAGCCATCAATTACGAAGTAAATTTGAAAACTACATGATTATAGGTGGAAGTATTTTTATATTTCAGCCCCTCAACCACTATTGAGCTGTATTGATGAGAAGTTTACAGCCAGTTTCAGCAGGGACTATGACCCATACCTGGGCTATCAACACCTGACCATTTACAACCCAAGTGACCCCTGTAATGTCCAGTATGAGAATAACACGGCATACATCATTATGAAGATACCCTTCACAGACTGTGGTTCAATTCTTACGGTATATTTACATCTATCTCTGTTTAATTGAACTTGATTTAATTTCCTTACATGTTCTTAATGGTTATTTAGAAATATTGGATAATTATTGTTAGATGAAGATAAAACTTACGATATTCAAGGAATAATGTAGCTCTGAAATTGCTAATGACTATTCTATACATGTAAACTTCCTTTTAGAATTCAGGATTCTTGTTTATTTTACAGAATAATGAGACTCACATATTCTACACCAACACAATTCACTACAACTTCACCACTAGACTTGGCTCCATTACCAGAAAAAACAGCTATTTAGTCGAAGTCCAATGTGAATTTCCACGAAACCAGTCAAATGGTAATGGAGGATATTCCCCTGTTACTCAGCTGGTTACCCAGAGTGCACCTGGCAGGTTTTCTGTAGGTATGGCAATGTATGGCGATGACAACTTCAACGAACCTTTAACAGTGAACCCAGAATTGACCCTGAATCAACCACTAAGCGTCTCCTTGATACTGAATACCACTCTATCGCGTCTAAAGCTTGTGATGAGAACCTGCTTTGCAACTCCCTCAGGTTCCTGGACTGACCAAATTAATCACTTTCTATTTGAGAATAGGTAAGTAAAAAAAATAATTGCAATGAAAAGATGAAATTTAGTCCTCTACTCCTGATTGAACTGTGCTGATTCCCGATATAATTATAGACTGATACCTACCTCATATCAACTTAATGAAATTATGCATAAACTGAAAACAATGTCGTTATATAAGTTAAAATTGGGTATTTCGTGATGTTTCTTCTAATAATTGAAAAACAATTTTAAATTTAGCTTTATCAAACTGCATACATTGGGGGCTAGACAATAGAATTAAAATAAGATGGAAAATATCTTAAACTTAGCAAAACAGATCACCTTAAATTTTCATCTTAAATTTTCAAACTTTATTTTATGACAATTGCAAAAAAAGTTAATCAAACTTAAATAAATCACTTTGGTTGGCCTGGATGGAAGCTGGCAAGGGGTCTTACTGTGGGAGGAGTACCCAGAGAAAACCACATGGTCAGGCAGGTGACGCCATACCTTTTCACCTGTGTTCTGGGAATTGAACCCTGGAAGTTTAGGCGAAAGGCAGACTATGACCACTGCACAACTGACCACCCGTCACCTGCCAATCTTCCTACTGACCATATCTGACCATTTTGAGACAATTATATCACAATATATATATATATATATTTAAGCAGATATGACTTTATACCTTTTGTATAAACAACGAAGACTTTTGAAATAAATTTGTCACTACAGGGTACTTTAAAAACAAATTTGTCACTACAGGGTACTTTAAAAACAAATTTGTCACTACAGGGTACTTTAAAAACAAATTTGTCACTACAGGGTACTTTAAAAACAAATTTGTCACAATAGGGTACTTTAAAAACATATTGTCACTACAGGGTACTTTATAAACAGATCAGAGTTGGTCACTTTAGGATCTTGTATCTTCTCACTACTCTTTGTCATGGTACAGAAACTGAAAAATTTCCCCCTAGTTAATCCATGGATGTGAATTGTAATTTGTTTTCCAACTTTGGATTTGTTGTAGTTGTTCAAATGACACAACAGTTGCTTTTGTTCCTTGGAATGATACAGCAGCGGGTTTCCGGTTCCGTGTGTTCCGATTTATTGGCTTTGAAAACGTTTACCTTCACTGTACCAGTACAGTGTGTGAAAGAGATGAGAAGAATGATGTCTGTGATGGGAGTTGTGGGAGCACAACACCAACACCTGCCACTGGTCGTCGGCGACGATCGGCCTGGCAAGGTGAACGAAGTAAGAGAAGCATTGAGGACCCGACCATGATATATGTTACCAGTGGAAAGATGCATGTGAAGAATGTGGAGAAAGATTCAGTCATTGAGAGATTAACACAAGAAGGTAAGTGACATTCAACCATACTTGATATTTTTATTAGCATTCACTTCATTTGAAGGCTTTTTATGCTACTTTTGATCAACATCTAAATAAAACTTTTGTCCATGAATGGTCTTGCAGGACATTTGTGATTTATCTTGTTCACAAAGAATATAGTGAATATTTGCTGTTGTTTCATCTCTTTGTGATAGGGGTAATCTGTTTGCAGGTAAACATGTTTAATTGAAACTCAAAAGTAACAGAGTGTCAGATGGGTTTTACTAGGGTGAGATATCCTTGTTATATAAAAGGTTAGACAGGATGGTGATTTAATGCCCACTCAGGATAATAGAATGACATCAGAGCATCAAACATATCATGTTGACAATCCAACAATGCCAAACAGTGATATAATAACAATATTACACGTATTGAACAAGGTTATCAAGTTGGCAATCACTTGGCAAGTCTTACCTTTATCATCTTAAGAATCTTTCCCAGTGTGTAAGTTTAACCTATCTCACCATCAAGTGATGAAAAATTCTATTAGTCAGAAATTTGAAAGCTAATTTTTCTATTTCTAACTAAAAAACCTATATGTGATTAACTTGTTTCCATATAGTGCCTTCCACTACAGCGAAAATTTACACTACACCCAAACCCACCAGAGTGACTCCAGTCCCAACCACTAACCCCATTACTCAGCAGCCTAGTTCCTCAGTGAAGGTTTGGATCACCTCTGACCTTCCGACAACCACTCAAGGTCAAGTCAAGGTTACACCCACAAAGGCACCCACCACAAAGAGTTCAAGTGACGGAGACCAGGGAGAGCAGAAGCATCTTTCAAAATCGGAGGAGGCTTTACTCTCGGATCAAGGAATATCACAGGAGTTACAGGACATGGTACCTTCATCAGCTTCCCAAATGGTGTATTCTGTGGTACTTGCTGTGGTCACAGCAGCACTAATGACCAGAAATTGGTTTGTGTGAAGACACTTTTAACAATGATTGAAAGAAAAGTTTTTTAGGGGGGTTTTGAATACTATTTTTTAAGTGTAGTACATACACTTAATGATTCCGTCCAAGTATAAAACATTGACAGAGAGTGTAAGATAATGAATTATGTGAGGTAGATGTAAGTCCCAAATTTCAGTGTTAGCTGATTTTACAGTAATTTTATCTTGTACTTACATGATGTGAGTATTCATGTGTACATGTATATAGTAATTTTATCTTGTACTTACATGATGTGAGTAATCATGTGTACATGTTTATAGTATATACTTTGTGTTTAACAGCATGTCCACACTTTGCTGTGTATATACATTGTGTTTAACAGCATGTCCACACTTTGCTGTGTATTTACTTTGTGTTTTATATACAACAAGAACGCACAAGAACAGTTAAATGTTTATTACACTAAAGAAAATAGACAAGCTACGGTTTGGCGTAACAGGGGCTACTCACTCTATTCATAATCACTATTAACTACTAGAAAATTATAACTTAAAACAAGACTCTGAGCTGTTTCGGAGCTAGATTAAGAGTCCCTACAGAGAAGTTAATTTTACCAGAGAATAGACTCTGCAAGTGGCCCTAGAAAAACAGCATTATAAATAGAATATTCACCACCAGCTAGACCCTCAACGATATGAGAGAAGCTGAAAATGTTAGCTAGACCCTCAACGATATGAGAGAAGCTGAAACAAATTGGGAATATATATTGGGGGTAAAATTTCAACGATATGAGAGAAGCTGAAAATGTTAGCTAGACCCTCAACGATATGAGAGAAGCTGAAACAAATTGGGAATATTCTATTATTATGCATTGGGGTTAAAATTCCCCCAAGAATTCAGTGCCAAAATGAACGCATGTTTAACAGAGTGATAACACCCAGGTAAAAACAAATATTAATAAGAAACTGATAAATGCAGAAGATCCTTAAGTTACTAAGAGTAGCCCATACATAAAAATATGTTATCTTATAACTGTTGCACATGAAACAAAAACAAAAAATACATGAGTATAAAATAAAACCAATGGTGTAGCCACACACAAATTTCACAAACAAATGCCTCCACCAAAAACTCAAACTATATGCTGCGGGGTATAATAGGGCATCCTGTGTGGTCAATTAACAGCATCAACCAGAACTCATCAGCATACATAAATAAACAAAATTATAATGCCTGCAGGGCAAGGAAAATCACTAACACTAATACATAATGAAAATCTTGTGAAAATTGCTATGTCAGCTAGCAAGGAGAACTTATTGTATATAAACTATAATTTAATAACAATATTAAATTATCATTTAACAGCATGTCCACACTTTGCTGTGTGGTATATACATTGACAACAGATACTGACTTCAATTGAAAAGTCTTCTTTGTGATTTTTAAGTTATCTTACCGTCATGAACTAAACAAATGCATGTGATCCACAAAATACAAAATGAGTTCATGAGTTATGCCCCCTGTTACATAATATTCGTTGTTTAAAGCATGTTTGTTAATTTATTAGGATACCTTGTTGTATTCATTTCATTTGGAGGATGATTTGTGTTTTCTTTTCAGTTTTTTTTGAAGACATGAAATTATATAGCTATCAAACATTACCTTTTTAAGGATATATATTTGTTATGTAATGTCCTTGTTTTTCAACCATTTGAGGAAAAGTCTTAATTGAAATGATATTTTTGGCAAAAGTCTGTGTTATATGTATGCTGTATACATCAGATAGTTTTTATAAAGAATTGTGTAAAAAAAAAAGAAACGTATATACAACTTTTATTAATGTGATTTCCTGCTGGAGCTGGAGCCTGCAGCCTTGCCTGACACTTAGTGGAATACACAAAATTACCATTGTCATATTTATAGCTCATTCAGGGAATTTAGACACATTTTTTTACCTAATTAGTGTTGTTATATTAGATGTATTTTAGTGTTTTAGATTGTGAATCCACTGAGAAACTCTGTGTGTGAATATATTTGTATCTTACCAGAAGTGCCTGGAATTATTTAAGTCTTAATTCATCAAGTGATTGACAGACTTCCATCTTGATGAGGACATGAAAACAAACAATAAAGCATGGAGTTATGTAAATAGTGGACAATATTAGGAAAATTCTGGATATCTAGAAATTTATCCCAATGTAACACGCGGAACAAACATCTGTGAAGGAAAAAAACTAGAGACTGTTCTATCATCCGAAGGATGAAAAAGTAACACTGTCAGACACTACAATTTTCAATGGGGTTAAAAACTGAAAATTTGAGCCAGTAAATGTCTTACTTGATTACACATGGAAAGGCTAATTTATTTGATTGTATGATTAGTGATCACAGCTGCTGCAACACTCTGTGACAATTTCTTTTTTTTACCATAAAGTAGCATAGGCAACAGACTCGCATATTAACATACTGGTATTTGAGTGATTTTTACACTTGCCTTCATTTTCTGGGATTAAATGAAAACTGATATAAAACTTCATATACAGAACATCCTGAAAATAAACTACAAGTTTTTTGACATAGAAACTGAATAATGTTTACACTGACACACATAGAGAGCTCAGCATTATATGATGTCCATAACATATAGCCTTACGTGCTAGTTTTTATTCTTTATTTCAGAATTTTATAGACTTTGTTTTAATGGTGCTTCTTCTTCTGTGATAAGTCGGTATAGATTGATACAAATTTTTTTATTGTCAATTCCTATTAGATGTTTGTTATGCGTTGACATATATATCTTTTACATATACATGGATGTATACAATGAATGATGTTATTGTGTTAAATCTTACAGTTAGCATTGGATTTATTATTGTGTAGTCAGCCTCTATATAATTGTTTAATCTATTGATTTTATTCATATTTTAATCATCGCCTTGATTATTTATTTGCTGTTCAGTTCTCTATCTTAAGTATGAAATATGTTTTAAATTACATGTTGGTTTCAAATATGAAATAATGTATTAGCAAATTATTCTGGAGTTATCTGAATCCGACCCGATTTGGACACTTTTAATCCTTCACATCAGGATGTTTATTCACTTTTCATCAGAGGATTCAGTTTTGCAATTTTTCAAATTTTGTCCCATTATTCTAGAGCTATTTTGGTATGTTCTTAATTCTTAAACACCTGTTTACCAGATGTGCTTTTTAATTTTTCATAGATTTGAAAAAAATCCCTGATAATCCTTAAAGTTTTCAGTGGCAGGTGGCTTTAATTATCAGATCATGTAAGTATTAGTCAGTTATTGTTAAGGTATCAGAATGTGTTCTTAATTCCTATTTATCAGTCTAGTGTTATGTCATTAGGTCACCTGAGTTTTGCTCATAGTGACCTCATGCAATTTTGTTTAGTTTGTCATTATGTGTTGTGCATCGTGCATTAACTTTTCACATTTTTGACATCTGAAGAACTGCTTGGCCAGTTCCAGCCAAGCTGGGTCACGTGCATCAGTACCTGAAGGGGAATCAAATTTTCAATATTTGTGGTTCCCATCCCTTGACATGTGCTGGGTGTGAGGCAAAAACCTTGGAAAAAAAATTTTTTTCATGAAAACTTCTCTTCTAGGGTACCTTATTGAAACAAATCCTTAATATTGCTGTAATGTGATAGAGGTCCTCTACCAAAATTGCAAAATCTTTTGCCCCTGGAAATATTGTTTATCCTCCTGGAGTGGGGCAAATGTTGAGTGTCTCCATAATTAAAAAAAAAAAAAGCAATAGAGTGAAAATTTGTTTGGAAACTGTTTTTGTATAGGTGTATGCTTTGAAAGTTGAAGGGATTAATATTAAGATTACTCTTACAAAGTTTCAAGGTCACAAATGTAAGGTCATTGGCACTTAGAATTATAAATATGTCCAATTTCTCCGAAACTTTCAGTTTTTGTATAGACATATGCATTTGAAATATAAAGGTACTACTCTGAAAATTATTTTTGGCAAAGTTTCAAGGTCACTTTGTCTTCAGATTGGTCCTTAAACTAGCCCCTTCCCCTAATGTTCTTTATTTAAGTTTTGAGAAGACTTATTTGGGAAACACTTGTAGCTTACTATTTTAGAAATAATGATTCTTTTAAATATGAAGAAGGGAGTTTATTTGTGGATAAAAATGGTAAGTGGAGACATTGCTTCTATTTAGTATTTTGCGCTCATTTTCTCCTATAATTACACATATTTTGTCAAGTTTATTTATCTTTAATGTTTGTGCTTAAATATGTATATATTTCTTTCTTAAAGAACATTTAAAGAAATTACACTGAATTTCATTCTTCTGTTTTTGCCAGGGGTTTTAAATATCAAAAACAAATTTAAAGTTGATTTTAACATTTAGAATTAAAATGACATGTTATCTATGTTATTCAAAAGTTGATGTTGACATTGTCAGTTTAAAGCAAAAATTATCTGTTTTAACTTCTTTTTTTTTCATTTTAAATCCGAAAAAAAATTTGAAATTTTTGTTGTACATTGTAGAAATACTGAGGGTAAGACACGTATTTTAATACTGAAAAGTTGATACCTTACTGATTTGTCAGTGAGAATGGTTTTATACTCTCTTAATCCGTCCATATGTCATAAGACCAAGATGCAGGATATAAATGATACAATTACTATCTACCAAAAAAACACATTGAACTGTATTTAGGAACTCTAGTCTAGTCTCCTAATGGCTCTACAAAGCTTTTCAGGTGACAATTAGTTAATATTTTGTTTGCTCCTGTACACTGCATTGTATACAAATCCTACCATGTATATAGGTCACCTACTGGCTCTATTATTAAATATGATGAAACAAAATTAGAATGAATAAATCTGTGATATTTTGTTTTGAAAACTATTGTTTTTTATGTTTTATCATTGATATACCAACAGAATTTGTGCCCACTCTATGATAGGGAATTCTTGATTATGTTATAAATAAATAAAAGGTATTCTGTCTTGATTTAGGAATAACAGTTACATTCCACAGAGAGGAAAGCCACAAGTGCAAAGCTCAAGTTAAAAATTGGCCAGGACCAATATGTTACAATAAAATGGGAGTTTCCTCACATTTGATGCGAATATATCTTAACAAATTCTGCCATAGTTGTTGTTCCTTGGCACCATGAGGCACTATGGGAGAAATTAACATTTCTACAGCAAACACTGAGATTTGATGATGAAAACTGCATGTAAATATCAAAACTTGTTGTTTTCACTTCTTGAAATATCAATGTTGTGTGGAGACTACAATGGATCTTATCATGAACAAGTATCGATATTGTTGGGACAACAAT